TTTTTTTTTTGTACTAGTCTACGTACTGTATTAACTGAAACATCACTGTTAAAACTACATTCACTAATCACATGTCTGGTTGGTAATTTTGCATTGCCTACCTAGACTCTCAGAATCATTCTTTTATCTCCCTTGTCTAACCTTTGTTGTCTTCCGGTTTTATTTCCCCTTAAAACACTTCTAGTAGTAGCAAACAACTTTCTGGAAAATTTTAACCCTGTTTCTGGAATTTTCCAGACGCCTAGCTATCATCTTCCCCTTCAAAGTATCAACCGTCATCTTTGTTTTAGCAGAAATTTTAAACATAATTTTAGTATAAAATGCAACTACAATGAGATGCCAAGGCAGCTTACAATCATACTGATATACTGAGAGATGCCGGCCCTGGGGAACAGCTGCCCGAGGACGCACCTTCTCATTGCACTAGAGAAAGGGATCGGTGCTCGCAAACGACGGTTGCGGGGGCTCGAGGAATTTTTGTTCCTTGCCCGGGTGTACGCGCTCGGGCTCCCCACATTAAACCGACCTGGTGTCACAACTTTGGCATTCCAGATCTTTTACTGGCTCAATAATTTTGCATGACATTTTTTCAGATTCAAGCTACTTAAAGCGGTGTATCTTCTGTTACACGGCAACCATAAAAAGGAAAAGACAACTTATTTTCTAAACGTCACGTTCCAGTGACACTACCGACTCTGCTGATCAACCCTAAATTCTTAATAAAATAAAGATGTATAATCATTTGATGTAGTTGACTCAAAACTTTTACTCACCAGTATATATATATATATATATATATATATATATATATATATATTAATCATAATTCCATTGACTTAACTCATATCACCAACTTCTCATATGTTATTTTCTTAACTTTCCTCTTCCTTTGTATCTGTGTAATTTCGAATATACTCTTCTCTTTCTTTTGTTTGTCTTTTCTTTCTATTTTTTTCAGTAGTAGGGTTTTCCCAGGTCGTCAGGTACGAACTGTTGAATGAAGTACTTATTACGGTTTAAGTATTCCATCCACCAGTTCATATCTGATGAAAAACCATGAAACTTTAAATTGCACTACAAACATAGGTATATGTCTATTTATTAATATATACTTCTTAGCTCTGTCTAACTACATTGAGCACTGCTTTGATTACAACTTAATATTCATTCGCTTATCTGCGTATGCACGCTAACCCACGCTCACACAGTTGATAATATCTAATTATTTGATTTATATCTATCTATCTATCTATCTATCTATCATCTATCTATCTATCTATCACACACACACACACACACATATATATATATATATATATATATATATATATATTATGAAATGAACAAAGTCCGACAATTATTTTAAGACATTTTTACGTTTATACGTTCTTTTTATAGATACAAATATTTAAGTAAATAAAGAGGTATATAAAAGGAGAAATTCATGAATTATTCACACAAAAACAAATGCAAAGGTTAATGATTTAATTGGCGAGAAATCCATCGTCGCAAACAATTCAAATAATATACAAAAACCTCCGAATCCGTTATGAATGAAAAGATCCTTGTTTCTATAAATTTCTGCCGTATTTTTACTACAAGCTTTCGTCTGTTCCTACAGACATCTTCAGGTATAGAATAGATGTTGTTCTTGTTTTTCTCTTAGTAATAAAGAGGACAACGAAAATATATGTATTGTTGTATCCGAAAATGCTATTGGAAATGAGTTATTGTTTTTTGGGCGCGCAGTAGCAACACTGAGTTTGATTTAAAATTTTTAAAAGTTGTGCGTTCTTGTACAAATATGGTGATAAACGAATTTTTTACTGGTAAATTTTCTGTCAAAGTGGCATGAACTATATTGTTCAATAATTACAGTAATGTCGTACTTATTATCCAAAAGTCGCACTTGGATCAGTTATTTAAATTACGATAAACGTGCAATCAATTTACAAATTCATGAATTATTCACACAAAAACAAATGCAAAGTTGTAGGTTGTAGGAACAGACGAAAGCTTGTAGTAAAAATAAGAACTAATACGGCAGAAATTTATAGAAACAAGGATCTTTTCATTCATAACGGATTCGGAGGTTTTTGTATATTATTTGAATTGTTTGCGACGATGGATTTCTCGCCAATTAAATCATTAACCTTGCATTTTTTTGTATGAATAATTCATGAATTTGTAAATTGATTGCACGTTTATCGTAATTTAAAAGGAGAAATGTAGATTTAATTTCTCCCCAATGTTAAATTCTAAATCGTTCCTCTTTGCTGATGGGTGTATTCCAAATTTAACCAAATATTCCTTAGTCAAACCTCAAAACACCACTTTTACAGGAAAATATTCTTCATTTATAGATAGATAGATAGATAGATAGATAGATAGATAGATAGATAGAGTGTCATTTGATTTGTTCGATGAAACCTTTTTCTTTTATTTAAACATTTAAGTCAGTTGTATGTCGAGGAAAAACGAAGCTAACTTCTCCCTTGCGCAAGATAAACAAATATAGATTTATGGGTAACGATAGATAGATAGATAGATAGATAAACTGAGATAGATAGATAGATGGGTAGATGAATGAATAGATAGATAGATAGATAGATAAACTGATATAGATAGATAGATAGATAGATAGATAGATAGATAGATAGATAGATAGATGACCAAACTGCGATGATAGATAGATAGATAGATAGATGGATAGATAGATAGATGACCAAACTGAGATAGATAGATAGATAGATAGATAGATAGATAGATGAATAGATAGATAGATCAGTCACATATAGCGTCATCCAAGTTTTCTTGCATCATCGTATTAAGATCGAATGTCATTTTTCTAATCAGACACAGACAGACGATGTCTCTTTTCATACTTTGGTCTTTGGCGTTGACGTTAGATACATTCAGTCGGAGTTGATGGTCAACGGACGACGGACGCTTGCAGATTGACCAATGGGGCAAACAGTTCATCCGCTTCTTTCCATGGTCAGCGCCCAGGCGACGCATTATTCGCGACCTCGATGCTAATTCCTAAGTGTTGTCGACAAAACGTTGATAGAAACTTAGTGAAAGGCCATCGAAATCTCTTATCTTCAAAAAGCTAACTATGGTTACTTTTCTTTCTTTTGTCTGTGCCATTTTTTACTGTTGCCTTTATCGTTTTTGTCCTTGTGTCTTATGGGGAAGAATCATTGAGAGATGGGGGACTTTTTAATGTATACGCGGATAGATAGAATGGATAATGACAGAATATCGCGATAATGCACAGAGAAGCAGAACAAGACGGGGCGGAAGGTGTTGAAAGAGAAAGAAAGAGACAATGATTTGCGTGATGAAAGGGAGGTAGAAAAAGGAAGGAAAAAGGAGAAATGGAGAGAAGAGAAATAAAAGGAAAACGGAAAAGAAGAAAAGTAGAAAAGAGAAGAAAAAGGAAGAAAAGGGAAGAAAAGGGAAGAAAAAGGAAGAAAAGGGGAGAAAGCGAAAAGAAATATTGAGTAAAAGCAAAAACAGGAAATCGATAAAAAAAGCAAGAAAGAAAAATGAGAACGAGAGAGAAGGAAGGAATAAAACGAAAAGGAAAAAGAAAGAAAGAAAGAAAGAAACAAACAAACAAACAAATAATAACAGAATAAAAAGAATAAAAACATGAAGAACAGGAAAAATTAAAAGAAAAAAACAGGAATGAGCAAAACGAAAAACGAAAGCGTCATAAATTGAAGAAAGACACGTAGTGGCAAAATAAATGTTGCAAGATCGAGGCTCACTCTCCTCAGATAATGAAAAAAATTTTAAATGCAGAAGATAAAAGAAGAGGTAGTCAATGCCGAAATGGAAACTAAGAGCCTTAGCAGAAAAAGATAGAAACTTGCAAGAAGAAAGAAAAAACAGAAAGAAGAGGTTCCAGAAAAGATAAGAATTAAAATGTAAAAGGCATTCGGATGTAAGAAGACAACAGGCGGGAAAAACTAAAGTAAGGCAAAGGAAAATTAATGAAAAATTTGAAGGACATCTATAACGTGAAACGAAAAATTATAGTAAAATATAAAAGTAGAGATAGAGATCGAGAGAGGAGAGAAAAAATAAAATAGAAAAGAGACAGACAAGAGATAATATGTACCAAGCATATATATATATATATATATATATATATATATATATATATATATATATATATATATATATATATAAAGAAAGAACAGCAAGATATATAATCCGGTGTTCTTATAGATATTTTTATTTTTCAAAATAGTGCTCAATGTAAATTTACAGAGCATTAATATTATAAATTAATTGATTTAAAATATGGTTTTTTCGCTACACAGTTCTAACCATGTTTCAAAATGGAAGCTAAAAACCACGAATTTAATTTTGTGATTAAATTAAAGACATTAGTTCCATTTCATCCTCAAGCAAATTTTGGAGTAACTTTTAAAAATTACTGGGTTTTAAATGCACAGCTAAAACAAAATTCATGTTTCCAAGGTTATAGATAAATTTTTTTTTCTAGACAGGGGTGGCTGGGTTTTCAATATGTCTATATTTTAATGTATCAGTTATTGCTACGTTTGGGTCGTGGGAAGGGATGTATTTTTCAATGAAATCTAACTTCCGTTAAAGCCTGTCGTCTAGATTTTTTAAAACTATATTGTTAACGGCTAAAATTCTTACGACATTTTTTTTCCGTATATATATATATATATATATGTGTGTGTGTGTGTGTGTGTGTGTGTGTGTGTGTGTGTGTGTGTGTGTGTGTGAATTCAATTACAAATAGATAAAATTCAATACACCATATGATATAAGCCCAGAACGGGCTTGTCAACACCAAGCAGTTAGATAAATAAAGCCCGTTCTGGGCGAAATGGCCATATATCATATGGAGTATTGAATTTTATCTACTTGTAATTCATATTTACTCTATAATAAATATATTGAGCTCCCTTCTGTGGATCAATTTTAATATTTTATATTACTAGGATTCACTTGGATTACTTACCACGGATTTTACCTGTATATAATATTAGATAGATAGATAGATAGATAGATAGATAGATAGATAGATAGATAAACAGGAGAAAAGGATGAGCTTTTAATGATAAAGGGGGAAAGTAAAAGGAGTGATGTATAAGGAAAAAATATCGTGTTTGAGAGAGAGAGAGGGAGAAAATGAAAAGTGATACTTTATAATAAGAATCAATTAGGGGGGGAATAAGAGAAGAATGAAAAAGTGATAAAGGGAATCGAATTGAAAGCGAGAGTGTGTGTATGTGTGTGTAAGAGAAAGAGAGCAAAGAGAAGATGAAAGACAAAACAATGACAGAGGAGAAATAGAGGAGTGGTGTAAAAGTGACGCAGAAAGTGAAGTGAACGTATCTGAGAGGATGAAAAGAGAAACAACGAGAATGATGAAAATAGGTGAACGATGGAAAAGGGACATGGAAAGAGACTCAAAAGATGACAAATTAAGAAAGAGTAAAAGAAACAGAAAAAGATATCTAAGAAAGAAAGAAAGAAAGAAGCATCGTGCCAGTATGAGCCGACCTGTCCGGCAAAATGGACGTCAACCATGGCGAATGCGGGCATAGCTGTCTGCAACGATGCTTGTCAAGTCTAACAGAAAAGGAATGACCTGCCCCCACCGATGCACGTCAAGAGAACGCTGAGATAGAGAGCTGTCGACACTGTTGGACGTCAACCGCAGCGACGACTGCCCGTTTGTGTCCACCAACATGCATGACACAGGTAGCGCGCCCACAACAATTAATCTCAAGAAAGACACGCCACATTTGACTCCCTTTTAAACACTTTTTACAGCGCGCTTGGCAAATAGCAAGATGTCTGTAACAGTGTTTGTCTGTCCGTCCGGTTATATGTTTTCATACGTAGACACACGCGCATATATATATATATATATATATATATATATTCTGTGTGTGTGTAAGAGACTGTCAGCGGTGTTGAATTAATGTAGGTCTTACTCACAGAAGAGGTGTGGTTTATATAACGTAATTGTTAATAGTTTTATGATAGAAACACATTGCAAATCATTTTACTATAGAACTGAATCGCAAATCAAGAAAATATATTGTCAGACGTCAAGAATTAATGCAAGTGTTTCTAAAAGAATAATGAATAAAGATACTTTTTTTAATTTAAGGGTATTTCCGTTACATTCACACAACAAAAGACGACATGCGAGCGATAGCTTTGTCTGAACAATACCATTAAAACTTAGTAGCTTTATGTACAAAGTTTATATAATCGTTTATACAATTATTTGTATAATAATGTTTATGTAATAATTGTTTATGCAATTGTTTATATAATAATGTTTGATAATAATTGTTTATATAATAATTATTTATATCATTGTTTATATAATAATGTTTATATAATTTTTTATATATTGTTTATAAAATTGCTTTAATAATAATGTTTATATAATAATTGTTTATATTATAATTGTTTACATAATTCATCATATAATAATTGTTTATATAATTTTTGATATGGTAATTGTTTATATAACAATGTTTATATAATTATATAATTATAATAATGTTTATAATAATTGTTAATATAATTGTTTATGCAATAAAGTTTATATAATGATACATAAAGATAGTATTTTTATTTATGGATATATTCGTTAGATTCACGGAACAAAATTCGACCCATGTGAGTGATAGTTTTTGTCTGAAAAATACATTAAAACATTCTAGGTCGATGTATAAAGTTTATATAATTGTTTATATAATTGTTTATGTAATAATTGTTTATATAATTGTTGATATAATAAGGTCTACATAATTATATATGTATAATAATGTTTATAATAATTGTTATTATTATTGTTTATATAATAAAGTTTATATAATAATGAATTTTACTTTTTTGTTTATGGGTATTTCCGTTACATTCATACAACAAATTGCAATACATGCTAGCGATAGTTTTGTTTTGCTTTGTTTTGTTTTACGGTATATCAACACTTCAATGGGTTATTTAATGCCGAAGGGATTTTTATTGCTGGTAATATTTTTTTCCAACAATGTATTGCTGGTAATACTTTCTCCTTCGAAGATGCATTTTTAGTAATATTTTTTCTTCCACAATGTATTATTCCACTAGTAATAATGTATTGCTTGTAATAATTATTTACAAAAAGGTATTGTTGATAATATTTTTCCTTCAAAAATATATTGCTGGTAATAATTTTTCCTCAAAAAATTCATTGTTGGTATTAAAACCTATTTTTACACTTTCACAGTGCTTTCACAACAATTTCGGGGTTAACTATTTGCCCATAGCAGGTTCCGGGTCAGGGTGGACCTGGGATCACCAGCAATTAAGATGTGGTTCCACGCTCCTCAAAACCTCCTGATCAGAGGAGGTAGTTTATCGTCTTACCCAAGACGCTGGTTTAGTTTATCGTCTTATCCAGGACCCGCGATAGTTTTGTCTGAACAATACCATTAAAACATTCTAGCTTGATGTATAAAGCAATTTCCTCTGCATTTTATATTCTAATAATTCCGTATCTTCTCCAGCGGTCGCATTGTACACAGGTAATTTTTATGAAAAGGTTAAAAATCAGGCACGAATGAAAACAAAAGTACGGTATCTAAATCTTTGTATCACATATTCCACAGTGTTCTTTTCTTACCATTCTCGAGTAGCTTTGTAAAAAAAAGAATGAACACCATTTATTTGTTATAAAATATATCCAGGATGATGCCCAGTACTGAAATAATTGACTAAATTTTGACTTAAATAGGTAATTCAGACCTTGTTTTGTCAAGCAGGTCTCTGTGGCCAAACTGGCAGCGACTTGCTTTGGCTCGAAATCAACTTAAAATAACGTTTATAGTAATAAGAAATAATATCTGACCAGGAGACCCAATTTCGAATCTCACTATGGCCGATATGTCAGGATGTTAATTGTGCTAGCACGAACTTACAAGTCACCGTGACCGAGGGTTTGAGTGTGCTAGCCTTGTTCAGACTGTTGACCACATTAGATAAAGCGCTCTCTCCCAGAAACTGTAACTATGGTCTGCTTAGCATAGTTGCAGTATAAACCGCAGGTGGGCTATGTCGGTGTTAAACAAACACATATGTGCTTCAGCAAGCGTTTGCGATAGGGATTAGCTAGCCGCCCTAGTCAAATGGCATTCCACGGATTTGAGTGGCTGCTTTTAATATGTATGTGCGCGTATGTGTCACTTTTTACTGGATACTCATAATTGAGTAGACGTCCCGTTTATTTATTAAACAGTACTTCTATTTATTTTCAACCACCGACCTGAATATTCAAGAAATCTTAGTAAAGAATAATTTTTCGCTTGGAAGCATAAAATTGACTTCGTCTGTTCCTTTGTGTTATACGGGAACATACCTATTCTATTGTTGATAGACTCTCCCACATATAAAAATAGTAGTAGTAGCAGTCGCGAAGTAGCTCAGTGAGTTGGTGAGTCAGTCGATGTCGGACATTAAAGTATCAACCACCACAACTAGATTACTGCGTCATTAACTATTATAACAAGTTCCTAGCGTTTTGTACGTCGAACCTTTTTAGGACCAACTTAGTGAAATACAAGCCCCCACTGTGAAACTACTCTACAACACTTTGTAACCAAAGGTTCGGGTTCGATTCTTACCGAACGGTGCAAACTTTTCTTTAATAAGATTTCTCGAATATTCATATATATACAGGAGCGCATAGTGATATATGTGGCTAGATTAATATGCCGCGAAGCCTGGCAGCATTTTTATCTCATTCTTCACCGTATAATGCTCGATTACTATCCCATGCTAAATTCAGTGACAAAGAAGGAAAAATGCTAAGTGCAGTGACAAAGAAGGAAAAATAAATATTTGTATATGAAGTAATTTATTTGTCTAAAAATAACTTTTTAAAAAAAATGCACGTCTCTTCAGGGCGTATTATAGGAAGTTGTGGAGAGCCATGATCGCCCACATCCTGGAAGGTCACGTTATATCTAAGAAAACTGAGTTAAATGCACTGAAAAGGACTGTGGTTGTGTTGAAAAATATTTGTTGGGCAAAATAAATGTTTTTTCACCAATTATTAAACTACTGACTAACCTACATACATACATGTCCCTATATACACTAGGCCTATGTACCTACATACACTAGGCCTATGTACCTACATACACTATGTACTTACATATCTTCTTCTTTGTACCGTGTCCTTTCAAGACATGAGCGACCATGGCTCTTCACAATTTCCTGATCTTTAAGGCTCTTAATTGTTATGGCAATTTACCCACGCATGCATGGACTCTCCCAGCTATAAATAGGAGCAGGTACTGCCTTTTGAAGGGTGAAGTTTCCAGCAGTCAGCTCTGACAGTCGGACCGAACATTCTTGCTGTAACACTCTCGTTTGTATATGTTTGTATTACTGTTTCTGTTAATATATTTATTTAACTCACTTCCTCTCTTTGTGTCTTTATTTCTGGCCCTAACAACGCCACAGCATTAATAAAGTTTGTCTTTTCGTTATCTCTCCTAATCCCTGTTTTGCCATTGATGTACACAAGATCTTTAGGCAAGTTATACGCTATTTTCCAATGTCTCTATTGACTTGAATCTACCCTGTGAGTGTCAAAATTTCTAGACTCTCTTTCCTCGTTATGTGCCCTAGAAGTTTCAACTCTCTCTTTCTGTTGTTAAGCATAAGTGTCTTTTTTTTCATTTTCTCTAAAAATTCGTCGTTGCTCGAATGTTCAGTCAATGGCATCCTCAGCATCCTTCTGTAGAACCACATTTCTCTTACCACGAGTCTTTTCTTCATCTATGTTATATACCGTAACTATGAACACTAATGGGTATATCCCAATCCTCATAAATACTTTGGACACTATTGTAAGTGCGGGTAATATGCTGTCTAAGTAGTTCACCACTAGAAGTGGTTTACCTATTTCATGCCGCTGGTGAGTATTGTATTTTGTTATACCATTTAATACCATTTATTATTATTACATACCAGTTATTACCATTTCATTTCCAACCTCCGTTTTGGTTATTCCTAATTCAGTAACCCTACATAGGTTACAACACCTGCTTATTTTATGTATGAGCGGCCTGATTAACACCCTTAGACCAATATTGCAGGTATACAATTTCCTGTAGTTGTTTGATGATAAAGTAACTCTGTTATATATAGTACCTATGAACACTAATGGGTATGTCCCAATCCTCATAAATACGTTGGACACTATATGGTAATATGCTAAGTAGTAGTGGTTTACCTACTTTACGTCGCTGGCGAGTATTGTATTTTGTTGATGTTATAAAGATTACCATTTCATTTCCAACCTCCGTTTTGGTTATTCCTCATTCAGTAACCTTTTCTAGGTTGCAAAATGTTGACGAGGATGAGATATTGACTTGTGCAGAGTAAATCTAAAATGGTGGAGTGTTATATACCGTACCTATGAACAATAATGGGTATGCTCCAATCCTCATAAATACTAGCAGTGGTGATCTACATAAACGGCATATATTATTCCCACTTACAATAGTGTCAATGTATTTATGAGGATTGGGACATACCCATTATTGTTCATAAATATAACAATATATATATATATATATATATATATATATATATATATATATATATATTTAGTTGGATAGATGTGAGTTTGTGACCCTGGGTTTCACGCTTTCGATCGTCAGACAAACCTAGACGATCGCT